ACTCTTGAGATTCTTGAATCAATCTCACAATTTTTGAAGGATTTGACTTATTATTTTTTGACTTTTGTATTTGGATATACCGTATAGCGTCCTCTAGATTTGAAAATCCAGACACCGAGGGTAGAAGGTGTCTTGCTGATTCCTGAATTCTCCCCATTGGCTTGTCCCTTTCTGAGTAGAGGTGGGTGAAAGCAGGTGTTAAGCAGAATAAATGCTTAAGTGCTTTGCTGAATTTGAAAAGTAAGACCATTTTGCAAGTGCATTGTGTGTCCTACACAATGCTGAGCTGGGCGGTACAAGCTGGAGTTCTAGGCAAAATTGGGCATGTAGAATTTTTTCGGGAAAGTTAATGACTTCTGTGGACAATGTGATGTTACTGAAACTTGATTATCAAATGAAATGTGAAACCTTTACTAAGAAGTGGTCCAAGGCTGTTATCTCAGAATACCGTGGCAAGGTAATTTCAGAATACCAAATCCCAGCTATTCCCTGAGAGTTGCAGTTATATAAAACCTCTCTGAACAGCCACGTTGAAAAATGTATGTTAATCAGTGCAGATCTTGCCCATCACCTAACCTTGTAATTGATGGTGCCATCAACAGCAGAGACAGTAATTTAAATTATGAATGCTTCTGGTTATGAATGATGGAATTTTTTTTGGCATAGGAATTAAAATGTGTGCATTATTAGAACGAGTAGAAGAGTTCCAGTCATGCTTTGGAGAAAAGTACAAAGTGACAAGGTTTAACATTCATGAATATTTGGGTAACAAGCATATTTTTCTATTAAATATGTAGATATTACAAAACAGAGAGAGAAGCATCCATGGAGTAATGCTTGAAAGTTGTTTTAAGCCTTGTTGAAATCGATATGTAAGGACACCACTCTTAAATTCAAATGTCTATAAGCAACTATGGCAGTGCCTTTATGGGTGCAAGCACCTGAAATGATCAGCCTAATCCTTGACAGAGCCAGTTCAGAGAGGTTTCTGGGCAATGGCTCTGATGGATCTGAGGGAGAGACTCCCTGCACTGGGGTGACCTGCTGCTCCGGGGCATTTGCCTGAACATCTTCTGTAACCACCTTTATTTGCAGAATATGTTTCTGTTTAGACCCTGATTATATGGACAGCTCAGTATTATTAACAAATCAAAATCATGGAAACTTCTCTTTGCTGATATGGTCAGCAGGTCATCTTTCCAAAAGGAGGGTTTCCTTCAAGTGAGTGGATTTGGATTTCACCTAGTTTTAAAACTAGGAGAATGAAAAACATGATCTGATAATCAGGCATCGCTTTCACTGTATCTTGGTGTCCTAATTCTGCCAGTTCTTCAGCAATCCCCTAGAGTTTTCCAAGGAAAGCTTCATAAACAACAACAATGGCAAAAATAGCAAGACTGCTGTTAGAGAAACAGACCCAATCAGTAAAAAGGAAAATGAAGGTACAATCTTTAGAGGTTAAAATACTGCAACTCTCTTTCCATGACGGGAACATCCATAAACCTCCTGGAGGCTGCACTCTGTGGAGTATCCCCTGTATAGGGATATTGCCAGGGAGGTGGGATTTGGGAGTGCTGACTCGGGAGTGAAGCCATGGTGCTTTGGCCCTTGTTATCTCAGCTTCCCCAGCAAGCCCAGTTTGAGCCCGTGGCACTGGGGACACTCTCAACTATCTCTGGGCAGTGCAGAGCTATTTTTCAGCTGTGCCTCTCAGGGGGAAAACAGCCTGAAATTCAGCTTTCTCAACAGAGCAAAACCTGTTTTGAGATACTGTCTCATGACTGGGGAGAGTCTGAGATTTTTCCTGCTTATTTGGAGTATTCTGGGTGAGCCCCATTGAAATAGAGCCGCTGTTTGTTTTCCTGAAGGATCTTCCATCCCTCCGAGTGCGAGCGGTGCCCGCAGCCCAGTTCCTACAACAGATTTACAGCCCTGCCATGAGCAGCAGGAGTGAGACTGAGTATCCCAACCTGCTTGCTTGGCATGACATGGGCTTGATGTAAGAAATTCAGAACTGAGCAAATAGCGCTACTAAACTCTCAGTTTGTGTCCAGGGAACGCTGAACACATGCGGAGCAGATGGGAGAGATTAAAAAAACATGGAATTATAGATGAGAAATGTTCACAATTAAAGCGACAAACAAGATTTCTATGTAGTTTCCTTTCTGATCATTTTGAAGGGTGTGAGGGGTGAAAAAGGCTTAACATACAAAAATTATTGTGAACTTCATTTAGAATCAAATTAATTTGACTCAAGGAATGCTTTTCAAAATGATCTTTGTTTCCCTGCACTCCAGCCTAGCAAAGGCAAATCAATATGTTTAACTCCACCACTTAATTTAGGACCTTTTTAAGTTGTCTGATGAATTTGATAATTCAGCGTGTCCTCTACTGTTTCAGCTAGTAAGGAAATTCCAGTTAGGAATTGCTAGATCAGATATCCTGTGTCTCAGCTGACCCAAAATCCCCATGATGGTTTTAGCAACATTCTTAAGAGAACCAGGCAGACTTAGTGAATAACAGACTTGTTTGTCTGATGATGGCAGAACATTTAATTTAAAAGAAAATGGCATCAGTATTGGAAAGCTCAGAATTAAAGGATGATGACTCGAATATTCTTTATTTCTGCTGTTATTAGTGTAATTCCTTAATAACAATGAATTCAACAGAAAATAAAAAAGGCTTAATAGATCCCACTTGTTGGTGGGAAATTCCACCAAAATTGTGAAGTAAAAAATCTTTCTAGGACCCTCCAATGCTTTTTTTCCAAAACTCTAGTCTCGAGGGAGCATGTGTGTTTCTCCCACTGTGCTTATACTGAGCAAAGCTGAATAATACTGCAGCAAGAACTTGTGCTTGTGCTGCTGCTCACAACACTCGTGGTGTGATCGTGGTGCGAAAGCAGAGGAACAAAATTTAAAAAGACCATGAATTTCACTCCAGCCCCAGGGTTTTCTAGAAGCACAGGCTCTCAGTGAGCTAAACAGACCTAGTTTGTGTCAAGACTGTTTTTATGGATCCCTGACAGGGTGTAAAATTACAGCCTGGTCAATGCAGATAAAGCTGACACATGCTTCCAAGCATAGCGAGAGTTTAGGGCTATATTTAACAAAAACACTGAGTTCTGTGTTTGGGGAATACACTCTACCTCCATACCCAAAAGAGTCACTGGCATTCAAATTCTCTCCAGCTTCTCCTGTTGATTACATCCCACATACTGGTTCCAAATTGTATCAGATTGTGCCTATTTGGGGAAAGAGGTATGGCTTTGAGGTGAAAGATAGTTTCTTTAAATGCATTCAGTTGTAACTCTCAAGGACTTAGTCTCTTTTCTCCATGGTGCTGGTAAAAATGCAGCATCGGATTTCCTTTCAAGCAGTGGAAAATGCAGAGTCTTGACGAGCTCAGGAGAAGGGACATATTTTCTGATGTTGCCTAGAGCACATCTGTGCAAGAGAGTTACTGTGGACAAAACACCTATTTTTGCCTTTATCTCACAGTTGATAACATCAGACTTCTAGAGTCAGGTTTTTGAGGGAGCTGTGGACTGAGTTCTGAGTTTTAAAAATCTGTCTGTAAATATTGTAGTAGAACTGCTGGTGGAAAACATGGACAAAATGACTCTTCTTAACACCGAAATTTAGGCTCCCTCCCCAAACAAAGGTACTGCACTGCCTGTATTGTATCGACTTCTAAATATTTGCAATTAGTGTTCTAAAGTCCATTTCTTTGAACCATGTTGTGACAGGAGCCTTTCCCTGGTGGTAACACCTGTTTCTGTTCTGGGGAACGCTGAGCACTTTCCAGATCTTTCTGAGATAGTTTTGCATCCCCTGACATTTCTGCAGGCAATGTCTGCTTGGTGGTGAATGGTATTGTAAACTCTGCAGCTGTGAAGTTACAGGAAACAGGAGTCCTGGCAAATTTCTAAATAAAGCTCTGGTAAGGACTGAGGGGGAATTTAATGAATACAGACTGTGGAATCAATCTCTTCACGTGTTTTGATTAGGGTAAAGTGCCTATATAATAGTTTTCCTTATTGCATCAGTAAGTATGACAACACTGAAATTTATTAGGTGCTCCTATTTATGTTATTTTTCTGTGCTTTTCATTCCTATTAAACTTTTGAGTTTCTCAGCATTGAGATTGTGGCCTCTCAACTTTTTATTTGTATTTAAATCCTCCCAGCTTAGGAACTTACAAAAAAATGATTTGAAAAATCCTTGGGAAGGACTTTTCTCTGTGCATGGAAAGTCAGGCTCTGTACGTGTGTTGTAGCTATGTCAGACTTTTCTTTATGATTTTTGTGTTTACAGCTTTATAAGAAGAAGAATTGCTCAGAGAATTGCACTGGTGGTTTTATCCTGCATTAAGGAATCTCTCCGACCAGAAAGAGATTTTCTGGGCAAATGAATCGAGTTGAATAAATACAATAACAGACAACACAGTGTTCCTGGGTCCAAGACAAGGAAATTCCATGGCTTTCTGCTGGGAATGGAGTAAGATTAAATCTTGCAAGCAGAGCCATAATTTATAATTTGTAGGGACAAATGCATGATATTTATAAATGTCTACTATACAAGACTTCCTGTTCCCATTGAAATCAATGGCAAAATTCCCATTGACTTGAGTGGCAACAGGACCCGAACTGCAATAAGAAAAATGTTTCCTGTTAAAATTGTGTTATAATTAGCATTTGGAAACTGCTTAACAAGGTGGATCTGATAGCTACAGAAGCTGTGGATCATTAGTATGAATTGAATCTTTCTTTCTCTACTGCTTTCATTTAAAATCAATAGTGTCTTTGTTTTCACCAAAATCTGTGAATTTTCCGTGCTGTACCTCATCATGGCTAAAGGCATCAGAGTATTATTAATGAAGCCTATTTTGTGGGCTCGGTCAAAACACATGGTAGTTTCTGTTAAGGTGACGTGGTTATTCTCAGCCATATTTCTCAGAATATTGCCCATATTCTTCAATTTGCTTTCCAGTCAAATGAGGAACATTTCAGCATCTGGTCAAAGCAAGATGGTAATTGTCAGGATGAGGAGGAAGCAGGCACTCCTGAGGCAGCAGTGGCTGCAGGATCCCCAGGAATAGCAGCAGGTTGGTATTTAGTTGGATAGTTCACATGGCTGAGTTTAGGAGTAAGTACTTACCCTAGTAGGGATCATCACTGGACCCCACTACTGTACAGTCTGAAGTTCTGCCTCCAGGGAATCCAGGATGGACTATCTAATTCTGATGTTGATGTTGAGCCTCCCTGTGGCCCTGGACAGTTATTTACTGTGTGCTGTGTGTCACTACCTCCCTGTGCAGTCTGCCCCAGGCATTTAAGTGATAGGCTTTGGCCTTAAAAAAGGGTCAAAGAAAGAGGTCAAAGCCGAAAGGGAAAACTGTGATATTGTCTCAGTGTATGTTGAATAGATTCTTGTGCTACAAACTGCTTCATTACAAGACAGATGATTCTAGGAATCAGATCCTACTCAGGGAAAGTGTATCACAAAGTTGTTCCTACGTGTTACTTAAAATGCTGTTTCCCTATAAGTAAAACTTGGTTAATCTCTTTAATGATTAAAGAGACTAAAAGAACTCGATAGTTACCATTAATTATTTCTGGAGACAAAAAATTAAACATAGGTCAGTAGTTTTGTGTTGTTTTGGTGTTTTTCTTTTGTTTTGCTTTGTTTAGTTTTTAGTTTTTCCATAGTTTCTTCAATTTGGTAAAAACAGATTTTGAGTTACATTAGTCCTGAGTTCTTGCTTATCCCTATATTGACAAAGTTTGTACTGGAAATCAACAGAAATTTTGCCACATTAAGGGCTGCTTTGTGGTTGATTTGGTCCATGTATGAATTTTTCCCAGTAATCAAGATGGTAGTTTTATTTTAAACTGTAAGATGGGTAGTCCCATCTGATCTGCTGTGCAAACCAATAATAAATGGCAAAATATTCAATTCAGAAGAATGAAATTATGGGTATTTTTTCTGTACTTCATTTTGTGCTGTACGGTTCATCTTGGGTTGGGGAGTGAAACAAATATTGTTATGGAGAGCAAAGAAACAGTGCAAATATATTTATGTATTTCTAATTTTGTCTTGGGTGTTGAATTGCCCTGGGTTCAGTTGCATAATGATAAGCAAAGCAACTGGACACAATCCAGTGCAAAGTGATGCATGAAACCAGCAATTTTCCCCCCTAGTGTGTGAAAATTTGTATCAGCAAGAAACAGATAGTCTAACTTGTATGTAGCTGGAGAACTGCCTGCATTTTGATACCTACATTCTTTTAAAATGAATCATTCTTCAGTGCAGACACAAGATCCTCAGCTTGCTGGAGCTCAGCAGTGACTTGCTGACACCACATTAACCCTCCATCCTCCCTCCCGCTGGGCACTAACGTGGCCCCCTGTGGGCAAGGCTGGGGAAAGGTGGTTATTGTGTGGGATTAGAGCACAATACTCTGCTGCACAAATCCATATTGGAGCCAGGGTTAGAGCCAGGGTTAGGTCTGAGCTCTGCTGCCTTCTTGTCACAAACCCAGTGCTCGAAGCTCCTCATCTCTGGTCCTTTGGTGGGTGACGCCCTGGCTGCAAAACCCACCGACCTGGGCAGCCCCTTTCTGCCCAGACATGGGGCAAGGTGCTGCCTTTTGAAGGGAAAGGCCAGCAAGAGCTTTTCTACTGCGAATCAGATATATTAGTTGCTGAAGGCTCAACAATTATCATAAAAATAAACTCTTATGGTAATGATTTTATTCTTTAAGCATCTTTTACCCTGAAAACCTGGTATGTGACTTTCTGGTAACTCTGTAACGAGAAACACTCATGAAAAAAGGCCTTTGGTGTTTAAAGGATTTTGCATTTTTTAATAAATAACTTATTTTTAAAACAGCCCTCCAGCATCAGACCGAGAGTAATCAGAGAATAATTTCTCTGTTTTGCCTATAATTTTAGAAAAATAAAAAATGTAAAGTTTTCTGGCTATAAGCAGCTGCCCAACATTTACTTTTATATGTCATAGAATAACCATATTTGTGTGAAAGACAGAGGGGAAGGTTCAATTCTAGAATGAAGCTCCTATTTGGTTCTGGTTTTGTGTTGCCTTTTCTCGATCCACATCTAGTCTCTGGGAGGTAAGTGTTGTACTAGGATTTGGAGCAGTGCAAGGACAAGTATTTAAATAAGACAGATTAGTCTCAGGAGTGGGGAATGTTTTAAGTAATGTTACAGACTAAGCCAGTGTAAAAATGTGGATAAAGATCATGCAGACTTGGCCTCTTGCACAATCAGTCAGTCAGCAACTCTACACTTGGGTTTTTCACCGTATGCCCCCTTTAAACAAGGCACAAACATATAAACACATTGCAGATTTCTCTTATTTTGGTAGGTGAAGATCTGGAGCCTAATTGCAAGTAGAAGTAGCAGTTTATGGCTGGCTTATAGACCTCCCAAAGCTGAACAGGCAGTGGCAAAGCGAGCACATCTTTCCCTGCTGTGAGAAACACCGCTGAGCTCTGAGTGTGCAGCAAACCTTCGTGAAACTGCTGGGATTTATTGATCACTTGCATTGTTTTGATTGACAAAAGGGCAACTGAAAAAATGGTAAGTCATCATGGATATGGGAGTGCATCTCTCTGATCTCTGAACAGCATTTAAAGGTTCCTGATTTGTTCCCAGGTGACTGAAGCAGCGGGGTGGGAACCGAAATCTTCCAGCTTTTTGTAGCAGATGCTCAGTACTTTGATTTGGATGAGATATAACCTAAACTGTGCTGTTGGAGCAGTCAGCTGGGGAGTATTCTGCTCTTAGAGTGGGCAAAGGAATGCTGTATGTTGGAAAATCGTTGATGGAACAGCAGAGGGATGAAGCTGGGCAAACTGCTTGCTCTAACTAAAACTGAAGCAGAAGGGTAGACATTGTCTCCTTGAGGCATCCAGCGGTGGCTCAGGGCTGTCCCCAGGGCTGAGGGACACAGTGCCACCAGAGGCTTTGCAGTGGGTCTGCTGTTGCTGTGGTGCTCCTGGAGAAATGGCAGTGGATTTTTATTTATCCCAAATGTACATCTTGCGCTCCATGACAAGTTCTAGGTATGTAACACTCAACAGTCTTTTCAAAGGATGTGGCCACCGTGTGCAGACTCATTGAATTCTACACCCACTTGGCAGTCAATCCTTGCAGATTAGGCTATTTTTTGAGTCCTCCGTGATCTTGGAACATGCAAGATTTGCCTAGGAAGAAATGTCATAAGAATAGGATGGAAAAGATGAGTGCATTCTGTTGCTTAAAGGCTGGTTCTGGAAGAACAGGAGGGATAATGCACTAATCAAATTCTGACAAGGTATTAAGGAGAAAAGATGGGAAAGCATTTTTGAACTGCCTGCACTAAAGCTGGATGCCTGAAAAATAAAGCAGTTCTTATGCATAAACATAACTTTGATTTAGTTGGCATTACCCCGGGATAAGTCATACACCTATAGCAGCCATAAACGTCAGTGCAGGCGAGAATGGGCCTCACACATGTTAGTGATGCCAAGAAATCAGAGAGACCACCTATTCTAAGATGAAATACAATATAAATAAATACAGATACCTCATCTTGCCCAGCTGGGATCAGCACAGGTAGCTTGTGTGGCATGTGACCATGTGGACATGACAATGTGATTAAAGTATCCATGGCCTGACCTGCTTGTATAGCAGAAAGATAAGTAACAGGCCATAGTAGGGAATCGTTTAGGGAAAGTGTTCCACTGTGATCAGTGAGATCTATTTGTCTTTCCTTCCCTGTGATGTTCATGTAAATGTAAGTTCTTCAAACAGGAGCTGATTTTCAGGCAGCAGGGAGGGACAGGTGATCCATCTCTGAACTGCACTCTACAATGGGGCTCTGCTGCAGCCACAGGGGCAAAGATGGGGATATCAAAGCCCTGGACATGTCAGTCAGGGCTTGGCTTGCTGAGTCCTCTTCCTTTGTGTTTTCTGAGAGACAAAACAGCCAAAGCAGAGCATGGAGACTGAAGAGAAATACATAGGCAGGGAATGACCAAGAGAAAGAAAAATAGCAAGACTGAAAATGTGAACAAGATCTTGTCATGTATTGCAGATCTTAGATGATCCTACCTTTTTCCTTTTGGCTGCCATTGTCTGAATCTGGCAGGAAGAACAGGACAAATCTTGCTAAGCCTGCAAACACTGTTTGAAGCTCTGGTAGGATTAACATCAGTGTGTTAAGATGTTTCTGGGCTCTCTGAATTTTCTTTCCCTTAATATGTTTCCTTAATATGTTTGTTACACTTCATAAGACCTATTAAAATGTAAAGCTGTTAGAGGTGGAGGATTTACAAACATTGATGTAGGAAACACTTGCTCAAGGACCAAGTGTGTGCAGCCCTCTCCCAGCTGGCCTGTTCCTAGCCCAGCTCTGCATCCCTTCGGAGTGCCCAGCGCCGCATCCCGTCGGGAATGCCCTCATCCCGCTGCAGGGAGGCTGGTGAGCGCCACCTTGTGTCTACCGGGCTGCGGACACGGCCCCGGGGTTTTTGGGAAGGGATGGTGATGGATCGTTCCTCGGTGCCGGGAGGCAGCAGGATCAGGCAGCGGGATGAGGTGCTGAGCTCGCTCCCTTCCCGCAGGACATCTCGACCTCGGCAGCTGCGGGCTCTGCACTGGGCGTGCGAGCTGCACAGGCAAGCTGAGGCCACGAGGAGATAAAAAATCAAGCCTGTAAAAACATCTTTTATGGGAAAAGCTGCTCCTCTGACACTGCTGAGTTAGCCGGGAGGATGGATATGAGGATTTGTCGATAGGTCACTAAATCCTGCTCTGCAGTGCAAAAATCGAGAGACAAAATGCCAGTAGCAGTATTTGGGAAGTTTCCAGTGCTGTTCCTTCCAGCTGCTCTGCTGATTTTGTCCCCTCCATCTGTGTCTCCTCTGGTTCCCTCAGGTGAGCACAGAGCTGCTCTGACATAACCCAAACCCTTTTCATCCTGCCAGGGTGTCTGGTACATGATCCTTCATCCCGCTGCCATCTTTCCTAGTGCATTTGTCCACAATGGAGGTTCAGTTCTCCAGAAAGATTTTTCCCTGTAGTCTTGGTTCTCTCATCAAGCTGTGAAAAGCTCCCATTGGCATCACTACCTGAATCATATCCACCCATGCTAAACCTTTTGTAGATGCCTTCTATTATGTAGAAACCTCAGACACTGGATCTTCAAATGAATAAAGTACCCAATTTCAAACAAAGCAGTCCTTTGGGATTTGAAATGTCCTGCAGTGCTATATCCACTGGGATACAGGAATGTCTAAGTGCACAGTCAGGGCCTATTGGAATTATGCTTATTCTAAGAGAATAAACCAGCTTGTTCTGACAGGCTACAAGTTATGCAGGATTTTGTGATTAAGTCAGAATCATTCAAACCAATTTCACATGTTCAAAACTCCAGAAAAATAAGAGAAGATTTCATGTGGTAGACAACCTGAGTGGGCTATGTGAGAGCTCTAGAGACAGATCATGATATCATTGGGAAAGAACTTAAAAGGAGCATAACAGAGTGAGTTCAAACCATGGCAGATGTGTTGTTGTTATGTTGCTAATACTGTTTCCACAAATGTTTGAGATGTCCTAGGTATTTCTCAGAAATACAAGGAAGGGTTACATTTGGCCAGGTAGTTCACAGTGGGATATGAGCTTTTTTTCAGTTTGACATGGAAACAAATAAAATAAACACAACATTGGCAATTACTTTGCTTCCTGTTGAGAACATGTTATGTAACTATTCTGGCTTTCTTTCCTGGTAAAATAGGGTGGGGAGGATGATAACTGTGGAGAAAAGAATAATACAAACATTCAGCCACCCTGCAGTAGTTCAGAGAATCACCTTTGGCAGGTACAGGAGTGGAGTCCTTGAACTCACATGGCATCACAGCAGAAGTTCTTTATCACATGCCATACTGTGATAAAAGAGAGCAGAATCAATAACACAGGGAATGTGACTGAACAGCTGATGCTGAATAGAAGTCTTAGGAGGCAAAGGGTATTTGGGAGGAATATAATAAGCAATCCAAGTGTCTCCAATAACCCCTGTCCAATTTCAGTTACCAAGGGTGGGCCTACAGGAGGGTTTCTGTGGATTTATACCAAGATGAGTAAGAATAAAATAACCAGGCACTTAGAGAATGAAAATTCCACCATAAGATTGTAGAGAATAAAATGTAAACCAATGATTGGTTTAGGCAATGGAAGAGAGTGCATTTTGTTTGGAAAGGGAGAGCCAGACTGCACTACTGGTGATGTGCTACTGCACTGGAGCCAGTGCAAGAGAAGGGGGCTGGAGAGGAGGAGCTGGTCCAGCGAGGTCCCATCTCCAATCCACACATTTACACACGTCCTTCCACACATCACTGCACCCAGGTACAAATCACAGCTGTGTGGGATGAGAAATCCCTCATCCAGCTGTGTCTCATCCCACACACCCTGTGCTTCCCAGGCACGTTTCTTTTTTCGGAGGTGAAACTGAACAATTGCCAAAGGTCCAGTGTTTCAGAGAGATGTGAAAAAACCTCACAAACTCAGTCGTGCAGCAATGAGGATGTGCTGGGAGGAGCCCACTGGTTCCCTGCTGCTGGAACATTTTGGCAGTCTGAAAGCTCTGTGAAGCTTGGGATCCATACACAAGAAAAACAGTGATCTACTCTTGTTTCATGCCCCTTTTGGTATATCCAAAACATTTATTGATCATAGGCTCATTTTCTTAGTTTACAAGTCTTCCATGGGTATATCAAGTTCTGTATTAAGATTGTTTAGGTTCCTTGCCTTACTGCTGACTTTGGAAGGCCATGCTGATGTGTGATCTCCTTCAGTAGTTAGAAATGCTTTCTTTAGTTTTCAGTCTAAACACACTGTTGATCAGATTACAAAAATTTGATCTCACATCAGGTTAATCTTTAGCTTATTTCCTTTTTCATGTACTTATCTTAAAATCCATTTATAAAGGACTTGCATATTGTTCCTCCACTGTCACACAGAACGAGTCATGTTCTTTTTATCTCTCCCTAAGAATGTTAATTCTGTAATTGCTCTAAGAGCCAGTCTGCACTGATGCCAGTTTAAGTTAATCTTTTTCAACACTCTTGACAGGAAATGTATAAATATTTCACACAAAATCTTACCAGTGCCTTGTCTAAAAGTGCCAATATTTCCTTCTCTACTAAAAATCCCACCTAACCCATATGAACATTACATTATCTGTTCCCACAGCTGTGTTGTACTGGCAGATCTGGCACACTGTCAGTCCATCAGAACACTCGGATCTTTTTCCTTCTCTGATGAATCCCAAGAACATGACTTTGCAGTTCACATTATTAAATTTCTATCACTGCAGGCAAGAAGGTCATCTTATTCCAGTTGGGGATCTGGTCCTCCTCAGTATGGGCAATATCTTCCAGCTTTGTATCATGTGCACAGTTTTTGAGGCTGGGCCTGATCATTATTCCCAGTTCATGGAAGTGTAGATTAAATGGTGTTGCTCCAAAGACTGAACCCTGAGGAACACTGTCGGGTAATTTGCTCTATTCTTATAACTCCTTTTTTACTATAACCTGTTGCTCCCTGTTCATGTTGCTTTTGTATTAATCCCTATCACCTCCACTTTCAGGAATGATTTCCTGCAGAGCACTGTATCAAAGGATCTGTTTCAACTCCAACATGCTGAGTTCACTCCATTATTTCCTTCTAGAGAGACAATTATCTTACTCAAAATACACCAGCTCAGCCTGACATCCTCTGCTCTGGTAAACCATGTATGTTTTGCCACATTCTGTTTGCCTCCCTACAACTAATTATTCTTTCTTTCGAAGTTTGTTCTAAGACTTGGCGTTACACTGAATTTTAAAAATACATTTTAGAATATGTATACTTTCTAAAAATACTTTTTAGAATATAAACATTATATTTGCTATGCTGAAGTCCTAGACAAGCTTTCACTGAAATTCATTAAACACTGGCTGCTTTTACTTGTAAATTCATATACCACTTATTTAAATATGATAAGGAAGAGATGGTATGTATTCCTCAACGTTTTCTATATTAAGAAATGTAGTTTGTTCTCACAAGATATTGTAATTTCTGTTACATTACTATTTCCTTTATATATCATTCCCATCTGTTATTAGCCTTACGTAAGTCAGAGCAAAGGACCTCTTTTTTCATTCTTGAGCAACACCATCTCTTGTTAGTTAATTTATTACTAAAGAAAACCACATTATACCATTCCAATGTCTTTGATGAAGCTCTGCCATCACTGGTGGCATTTATTTTCTTCTTTAGATCTGGGTCATTAAAGTCTTTCATAAACAAGGAATTGCATTTATTATTTTCCTGTAATTTATATCCAAGCTTGACTAGAGAAGGAGGCTGTAAAAGATCCTCAGCACTATCCTTCTGGAGCAGTTTGTGTTTGAGTAACTTCCACCCAAACAATGTATTTGGTTGGTGTGATCAGATTTCTTTGCACTCAGCCATTTCCTTCAGTGACACCCTCCCTCTTCTCTCATTTCTGTCTTTCCTAAGAAACTCCCTGCATAGTGCATCAGTGGGAATATTCTGTCCCCAGCTGAAATGCAGGAGACCTCTCCATGCTCCAGCAGAGTTGCATATAGACCTTGGAGCTTCTGATATCTAACCCTGCCTTTGACAAGGTCTGAACACCCTGACTCCACAGGTCGCTCAGGCCCTGACCATCCTCTCAGGATTATCATCAAGAAGTATTAATACGAAGTTTGAGTACAGAAGCACTGATTCTTGTACTTTTTGATTTGTTCCCCTGTGGATGTCATTTTTCCAGTATTTTTCTGGCATCCACAGCCAATGGTGAGGGCAGATCCCATGGAGAGATCTACTTGAGCTAACGACTCATCTCCATGCCTTACTTGCTCTTTACTTCAGAGAAATTATTTTAGCCACATCATGAAGGCATTCACTGAGGTTATAAATTTCAGCAGGGCCAGGGGAGAAATGTGCTCCCACATACCTGATCCCCTGAATCCACCAGAGATTTGCTTCTCAGCAGTGAGTGCAGCATCAAACAAAAAAACAAAGGACTTGTTGAGAAACGACATTGCTGGAGTTCTTTTCTCCCCAGTCACTCGTGTGTGCACACACCCAGCTGCTGTGGCTGGGAGTGTCTCCAGACAGAGCTGGGTGATGCAAAGCATTTGCCAAATGTTTGCACAATGAAGAATTGCCATCATAGGCTCAGGAGCAACTGTTTTCAGAAAGTAAATATTGTGCATTTCTAGGGTAGGTAATAGCTAAGGGCAGCAGGCATTGTGACTGGAGCCTGAAGGGAAAGCATGGCAGCAGGTCTGAAGAGAGGCTCTTGTCTCCTAAATCAGGATGAGACTTGGGCTGTTCAGCTCAAGGAATGCTTTCCTTTTCACCCATTACCACTGGCTGCAATGCATCATGCTTCATTTTTCAGAGATGTAAAATTAAATTAGAAAGGAGGACAGCAGCAAGAGGTTCAGTGAATTGGAGAAAGAGTAATAATTTTGTATCTGAGTCATCTTCAAACCATTCCATCAGATCAAAAATAGCCTCACTCCTCTTCAGAGATAAGCACCAGCAGCAGCATCCCAGCAGTTTCACAGGATTTACAGTTTAGCAGCTCTGGCCAGAACTTCTGCATTTCTTCATGTAGCAAGAGCACTTAATTAACTGCAATGTTATAAATTCAGATACAATAACTCTCCTGCCTCTGGCACTTTTTGACTGTGTTTCACTATTGCTGTTCTCATGCCTTTCCATTGTAATATGTTATTTACAGAAAGGATTGGCATTTTCCTGGCATGTTGTATCTGCAAAAGGGTCTTAGTAGTTTTCAGAGTATACCAGGAGGTAATTTCTTACTAGAAAGAACAGGAACAGCAAGCTTAGTATTGAAAAGCCCTACCGGTATTTCTGTGAGCTCTGTTTGATGCCCAGAATACTTTTTGAACAGATGTTTGGTCAGAGTCACATCTTTTGAAGAGTTTGGGGATTGATTACTGCAAAAGGACAATATGGTTTAAAGTCATACCAGCAGTGCAATAGTGTTTCCAAAATGAAACACTATTCCACATTCCAAAATGGCAAAGAACTTTTGGCTCAGTGGTAACTAACTGTATATGCCTTCTTCCCACCAGCTGAATGGCAGGAAACTATCTGAAGTTTCTTGTCTTCTTGGCAAGGCACCAGACAATCTGCAGGAGTCTCTAAGAGATCTTTGTGCTTGCCTCTGCTGAAAGGTGGGTGAGACAGGAGGTTGTTTCACCTGGGGGAAGAATTCCAGGTGGGAAATGACAGCTGAAATAAACACTTGCTCTTGTGTCTACAGTTTTAGGATGGAGAGTGAACGTGTGTCTTACCTATGTCTTGGTGAGACGATCCAGCTTGTGTGACTCAGGAGTAATTCCATGCAGGCTGTCCAATGCTGCTGGGGTTGTGAGCTCCATTGGGTGGATGTGATTTTGTCCATGATTTCGGCTCTTAGAGAGTGTGCCACTGCAAACAGTACTGCAAACAGTACCACAATGAAATGCTGATAAAGAAAACTGGGCAAATGTGCACTCTGTTTCTGAACATCATCTTTCAGCTCCAGCTCAGGTGGGATTTTGCATAAGCAGCAAAATCTGTGACAGCTTAATAGAGATGGCAAGTATGTGATAGTATTAATGATAGTATAATTAATACTACTTGTGTTTCAATAGTACCTGACTGCCAACATATGTCCTAGGTCCAATCCAGGATGACAGATTGGTTTAGAAAAACATGTAGTTTTGGTGTCTTTACAGTCAAGACAATTACAAGTTCAGCTCCTTATAATGTACAGCATCAACCCAGGTCTTTTCAAAGCATTATATTCACATTGTGTTTTTGACAAAAAAGCTTTGCAATGGGAATTCTCATTCTGATTTTAGCTCTGCCAGGCAGTACCACCAAAACAGGATTGTGACCCTGTAAGACACCCATGAGTCAGCATTGAGTTGAAGTTCCTCCTGACTGCAGAATCAAAGTGCAAAGACTCATTTGGCTCGTGGGATACAGAAGCCTAATTCAATATCTCACTCTCTTTCTATAACCTGAAGATACACAATGTGAGATCCTAGGGGATGTTTGCTTGAGGGCTGAGCAGAAGGGAAGATCCCAACATCCTAGCCTGTTATTTTGTTCCACCATACATTTGTTAGCTTTTAGGAAAAATATTTCATAAGTGATCCCATATTTGTTTGTTCAAAACAGTATTGCAACGTGAACTACATGCCAGTGAAAATACAGACTAATCTTTCTTGTTTACAGAACCAAAGCTGCACAGTCTAGACCTCAATTTATTTATGGTATTTATTTAAAGCTTCAGTTTTGACCTAGATCCGGTTCTCATTTCTGAAAGCAGCATAAAGTTCTGACTTGCAGCAATTTTCTTCTTAAAACCATTTATGTTTATGCATGTAACATCAAGAATTCCAGTCTCTTATTACATGAACTATATAGTATTTTCAACAAGAGCCAATAGTTTCTATGCAAAGGTATAAACAGGATATTGGAGGCAGGGGAAAAAACTTGTGGTTCGTACATGTTATTAACTGCTTTGACTTGACCTACCTGGTTTTGTAAGCAGCATTTTCAGGGGAATTAATTGCATCAGAGTCAGTGGAGAGAAAAATCAAGGAAGAATTCTACTCACCCCAAATTAAGCTTCAATACTGCAAAGCTGTCATTATGTGTATCAAAGGCTGTTGAAAGTCATGTTGCTGGGAATAACTAGGGGGCTTGTTAATGCAGTCATGATCATCTTTCTGACAGAAGCTCACTTTCAGGAAATGTGATATGAAATTTTCCTTAGGTTCTCATCTCCTTCCCATACTGTGTTTCTTTCACTCTTAGGGTGCTTCGTCTGTAATTTCTCAGTTAGGAATTCATTTTTCAGCATCTACAAAACTCTATAATGAATGGTGACCAAGTCTGAAAGGATTCTTATGTGAATGCAAGCTACATCTTCTTTTCCTAGTTTTGGTAATGGGAGTTTTCTCAACTGATTTGGGTTGAGGCCCTCGTGTAAATAGGGTCGTATTGTGCTTCTAAAGATAGCACAGCACAGGGGCAGATCCCTGATTTCTGCTTCTTGTGGTTCCATTTGAAAGGCACTGTTTCCTTCCCAGCATGTTCTTTTTAAGTGGGTGTATTTCTTCCTTTCTAGTAATCTCTGCAGTATCTGATCAGTCTCTCTGGGGCTGACCCTTCATTCTCTGAATGGTCGGAACTGCCCCTGAAGTCTGTGGCAGTTAAACAAAGGGCACAATCGCTGAGGGATTCTGCCAGCAGCTTAAAGGCTTACAGAATCTATAGCACTGGTGTAGACATTGTTTCAGTGGGATTTTATATGCATTCTTACACATGTATGTCTATCACGTGCTAATCTGTCTGTGGAGTTCTGTTCCATCCTTCCTCAGTAATTCTCTCTTTTTTTTTTTTTTTAAGATCAGTCAGGAGCCTGAGTTCTGCCAAATATAGTAACATGAGGCAAAAAGCAAAAGCATATCAATAATAATGCAGTAGGCAGAGAACACAGGAATGCCTGTTCTATTTCAAATCCATTTGGCTGTCTCATTTATGCTGAAATTGCTGCACAGAAAACAATCAGACCCAGTTTAAGAGTCTCTTTCTGTAAATAAACATGACTATATATGATAGCTGTTCTCAGGCCAGATGATGAATTGGACTCAAAATTACATACACAAAGTGCATGA